ACATTACCTCTGGATCCAAACAGAAACTTTACGTCTCTCTCTTTATCCGATAAATCTCGGGAGTTCGCTGACGTAGTCTGCTTCTATGCCATTTTGCCGAGGTTCGGATCCGATTCCTTTTCTTTGTTTCGGTTTAATCTTCAATTTCCATTGATCAATTCCAGTTTTTAAGTCGATCTCCTTTTGATTGACTTAGATTTGTGTTCTCGAAATTCATCGTGTTCTTAAACCTTAGCAGTCGATTGCACCGAGTTATTCATTCTGGAACAGATCTGGTATCTTTGGGTTGTTGGTCTCTAATTTCTCCTAGATTTTGAGTAAAGTTTCGCGATATGACGCGCTATGAATTTCTGTTTTATTCTAATTCTGCCGGATCGTTGCTAATTATTCGTTGATGTTGATAAAAGTTGGTCAAATTTGGCATATGATTGAGTCGGATTGACTCTATCTTTCGTTGTTTAGAGAATTATACTCTCATAGTTAACTAGGGTTTGTGCGGTTCGATATTAGCTTTCAGAATTAGGGTTTCAATTTTGTGTCATTTATCTTTGGTTCGTTGACCAATGTTGGTTATGTTGAATCCTAGTCTCTTCTAGGCCCCTTGTACTGTAACCTCAGTGAACTGTGATCTCGTGGCAGCTTGAATTAGGTTAAGAAATTAGATGTGTTGATTTCGCATATTTCTTTGAGATTGCTGTTATGCTTTCGGCTATTCTACTTTGCAGGCTCAATTTAATCAAGTAATTTTGCTTGTAGTAGAAAATGGGCGAAGTTAAGGGATGTTGGAAATTAGGACGAATGCTTCCAAGAGATAAGTCTGCAAATTCCTACAACGTCTCCCTTCTGTTAACTCCGGTTGTTTCTTTTTGGGATTGTATCGTCCGTAAAATGAGATATACCTACATACCTGAGTGGGTGTAGTCATTTCGATCGTAGCGCCCTGATTCAGTGAGATTAGTTCAGTTATTCAGTTGGTAGAATCAAAGTAAAGGGAAATAAGAAAGAAAAGAAGAAGCCAGTGATGTA